ATCATAAACATTGAAATTGCCTATGTTCTTCAGATTATTGGTCTCACTCTAGATTGTCCAAATTTTATATTTTCCGCTAATCTAACTGACCTTAGCCGCTTAGTTTGATCTGTATACTTAACATCATAATCACTGCATTGTTTCGTAGATTAGAAAATTTCCCTGATAGTATCTGTCAAATCATTCAGCCAACAAAGTTTATCTCCGAGTACGTTTTTAGGTTCAAATGTTCCTGTTGTTCTTCCTTCTTTATTTATCACTACAACTAAGGCTTTAAACCTATTTATACTCGTGTTATCGCCATTATTTGTATTTCTATTAGTGTTATTACTTTGTTTCTTATGTGTTCTTACATCATTATCAGAATTCCCATAGGACCAGGCATTACTTCGTAACGGTCCTAGTTGCAACACGTCAATTCAGTAAACCAAGTAATAATTATTATTGCAATAAAATGGAAGATGAGAAAGTAGAACAAATCGGTTCTGATCAGAACCGATGTTTTCTGTTGTTTCGCGGACCCCAACTGGCCAGTCTGCATTCCTATATATAGCTCAAATGAAAGGTCAAGGGCTTTGTGCATTGATGCCAAGTTTTAGTCTGGCCTCCTCGAACCTGTATGCAGCCTGAACCGGCCAACATCGCTACGCGGGAAACGGTGACTACGCTTACGCAACACATATCTCAGCCATCTCAATCGATAAAGGTTCAAAGCTGCTTCAACTGACTCACCTCTTCTGCCTTACACCCTACTTCCGACTTACGTGGTGTCACCACGAAACACCTGAAGCATTCCCATGTCTTCTACCTTTAATGGCCATGTTTCATAACCATACTGTAGAATAGAGCAGACCGCAGCGTAATACAAAAAACCCTAATAGACAATCGGATATCGTGGTTACGCCACAGATGGCGTAAGTTGAGAAAAACCAAGCGAGCCTTTTGTATTCATGTGGAGATTTCGTCGACCACTAAACTACTGGAGGTGATCTAACTCTCCAGGTAAGTAGGGTGTTCAGTTCACACAAATTGACTCTCTATTGTTAGCCGAGGCACCGTCAAAGCCCAGTCCTAGAGCACCGATTTGCATTTAGGCGGCGAGAAACCCCAGAGATTCTCAATTTGCTATTCAAGGCCTCCAGAAGACAGCGTCTTCACCCCACAGGACTATGTCAGCTGCGTATTCTGGGTCTACCGAAAATTCTGTGGTTGGGTCAATGCCTATGTGGTCAAATGAGAGGGAGACCTCCGTAAGAACGTGTGATAAAATTGAGTAAGAATAGAGAGAATGGGCGTCACTGACGGACACCATTCGACGTACGCAGCCCACCCATCTCCTCATGGGCTCTATCTAATACGCTCACAGGTCTTCAAGTAAATAGCCTTCAATATAAAGTGATGAACTTACTCGGTACCCCTTTCAGTGAAGGGTTTCTTGAACGACGGGGTCCAGTGCCACCTTCAGATCGAGAAATACAACTACTGTCGAACGTTGGTAAGCGTACCTTTGTTCCAGAACTTGGCATTGTAAATATTTGGTGGATACAACCACAGCCAGTGATTGAGGACAGCTAAAAAGGATCATGTCTGCCTCATACCCTTTTTTACTTGACTAAAAACACTACCACCATCCTCAGAAATTAGTCCGTCTGGTCCTGTTGCGCTTCCTCGTTTCAGATTACGTACCGCTTTCTCAGCTTCTGCAAGTGTTGGGGGACCTATCCCACTACTGCATTCAGGATCCAATTGGATAGCGAGCGACTCAATAGTAACTGGAAGCTAGTTGAACTGTTCCTTGAAGTGTGCCCACGAATCCCATGGTATGCCTGAGTGAATAAACGCACTTGTGTCCTTTATGAGTGTCTCATAAACACAGCATACATCCATGGCTCGAGTTGCCAATTTGACGAAGGGTGCGTAATCGTAAGCTCCAATGTGTAGTTTGGAATGTGGTTTAAGGAGACCAAGGATGTTGTTCTGTGGACTCAGATCGTTTTAGAAGCTGCGCAGCTAAAAATATCAATGACAGGATTATCAACTGAGAGACGTGAAGAAAGATTAAGAGATAAGGATAAGGGAGGTGCTTAGTAGTCTGGGGGGACTTGAGCTCCGACAGAGTTGTGAGGGCGGTTATCATTTCCTGGCTGCCTGCACTATGGAAGGCTAGACCTTCTTAAAGTGCCTGAAAAAAGGGTTGGTACTTGATCTCAGAGCCCAGGAGACACTTGCTTGGGGCTAGTCACCCACAGTCTTTTCGGTGCCACGAGAATTAGTTTCTATTATGGAAGATGTAGTCGGACATGTCCTGTGGTTTCGGATCACCACTAACCGCTGATGACTGGTCTAAGCACCACGATGTATCGCCTCTTTGTTTAAAAACATGTTAAGGGTAACAGCTTTTCGTGTAACCACTAGCCAACAAACGTTTTTGGTATGGTAGAACCTCGGGGTAAAAACCGTTTTACCGACACAGCTCGTTAGGTCACCGTGAATTACATTCCTGGCCACCACGTCAGGGTAGCATCTATTGTTCGAGATGTGTTCGCACTAATTTCTTAATAAATGGCAGGGGATAACTAACAATTATTCATGCTTTTATGTGTTTCAATTAATTACTAAATCTCTGTTCATCCAATCCACACCCAACACGTAATGGTTCGAAATGACGCAACAACTATGCCAGAGATATCGAGAATTCTAATACCGAAGAAGCGAAAAATGCGAAGTGATAGGATTATAAAAACTAGATGCCGAGACTGGTGTGATTACAATTATATGCTGAGCATTACTTTATGAGCAGCTCTTTGTTCAGATTTGTCAAGGGAAATCAATGACAATTTATACTCGGAATGTCATCAACCATATAGTACGATATTATTGAGTGCTATATATAAAATAAACAAATCTAATATGGGATTATATTCTACCATAGTGCCGGAGTCTTATACATGAAGTAGATAAAGCATGCGTTACATACCTTAGTGCTGAAGGTGTGACTGAGACAAGGCACAACCTACTGTCAACTAGGATGCAGCCATGCAGTGTACATTCTACCTCAACCATCCGATCTCCAGAAACTTGAAGGGTGGATCTTGCACACTCGTCATAATGGCCAGGTGAGGCTATGGAATAATCGTAATTGTGTCATGTGTGTGTGCCTGACAAACAGTGGGATCATTCCTGGTGGGTCAGTTGCCGAGAAAATCTCAGTACGGATGCGAAAATGTTGCTTGGCTTTTGCCAACCTATGCCACCTGTAGCGCGGCCGTGATATCCAATTAATTGTTAACGGTCAAGTGTACTGTGCTGCAGTCGGCACTGCTCTACAGCACGGCTGTGAAACATGGCCATTAGAAGAGGTGAAGGAGACGAGGAGGCCTCAGGTGTGTTGACCACCGTTGCCTTCATAGCGTGAGGCGTATATCTTGGTGTCACCAAGTCAGTAGCATAGACGTGACGTGGAATAGTTTTAGAAGTGTGATGATAGAGGAGTGAATCCAGTTGATAAGGTTGTGAAGCTGCATCGACTCAGGTGGCTGGCACATGTGTTGCACATAGCCAGTTACCGTCTGCCTGGTTGCACATTGTTATGTGAAGTGGTTACAGGCAGGGAAACGGTTGGAGGTGGTCAGACTAAGGCATGGCTGGAATTAGTGCATGAAGTATTTGACTGTTGGTGTGAGCAGTGTTGATGAGCCTAGAGTTTGGGGTTGTTTTGGTTGTGACGGCAGAAATCAGTGGTTGGAGATTCTTGTTGTTATGGCTGATAATGGATGTTGTTGGCGGAGATGTATCCACGCATTATCCACATGTTGACGAATGCTTACGTGGGTTTTCGTGCACAGTAGTCCGCGGTGTGAATGCTAAACTACTAAGGTACATGGCGTGAAACTTTCCTTGAGTAGCTCTTAACAGTCAGTCTATTGGTGTTCCCAACATTCGAGTAGTACGCCGAATATGCTTGCAAGAATTTCCTAACAGACAATCGATGTTTAAAGTAGCCCAATTACCAGATACTTTTACCAACTAACAGAGGTTTGGGAATGTAGCATACTGTTATATCTCATTTTGACACCTTAGTGAGAAACCTCTTCTAACTTGAGTTCATCATGTAATCTTGTTTTTCGGGACTCCGATCACCTCTAAACTCAAGAACATTCTGTCTTGCAGATCTGAGATTTGATTTTGTAAACACTGATTTTCTTATAACTTAAATTAGCAGTTCCCTGAAACACCTCGATTTAACTCTTGAATTCTTTTCATGAGAAAATTTTAATTGTTAGGTACACACGTAACCTTACTGTCAAACTTCCTGATAACTATGATTTTAATAAAATCTTGGAAGGTTTGTAATAAACATTTTTTTTCCCTTTCAAAGATGAAGATTTAATCTCTCCCTTTACATACATTATCTATGAAGTAACAACGTAAGAATTCGAAGGAAATCCTCACTAACGATACTGTTAAATGAGTTGCTTGACGTCATTCTAGCAAAATACTAAAAGCACACTAGTTAATTCACTAAGGCTACCCAAACCGTGCAATCTGAAGAAAAAGTACGCATATCAAATTAAAAACTTGCTGAGTTTGATCCTGCAAGGGTCAATGAAAATACGCATAAGTTTGTCATATTCTAACAAAATCGAGCCGAAACCCTGGTGGTGCTGATTAGTTAGAACTAGTGGTAGAAACTTAATTGAAGGTGATTGGATCATTTCAGACTAATCGGCAAGCTTGAATCACCTACAGAATGCTATTTTCTTGTTTGTTGAACAATAAACTGAGTGGATCAAATGATTATTTAATGTTACGTCAACTAAGTAGTAGATTAAGGGTTTTTAGAATGCACTGTGACTGGCTAATATCTGGCTGCTTAAATTTTACGTACATATACTACCTAATTTATTTCCATTCACTTAAACTAGGATTGGTATCGACAGTCTTCGTTTTCGGAAGAATCTGCATTACATGCATTTGTTCATCCATGAAATTAATTAACCATGTGGAGTAAACTTTCCTCAATTCAGTGCAACCAACTACATCGTGATTTTCTTCAAATTCTTCATCGTCAACATGATATATTTGGGATTAAACTAATAACAAGCTCTTTCAATGTAAGGAGATGCTGTGTGTCTAGTGGATCAAATGATACTAAGAACGAAATAGGTGCAAAACCAGAGGGTCCGGATGCGGATTTCGTCCACAGACATATTGGTTCATCTCAAGAAGATATTAATCATATGCTCCAAGTTTGTGGTTTTAATGTAAGTTCATCGTTGACAACCATGAAATATTTATTATTATTTTCTTAACGATACATCATTATCTGCAATATTTAAACTTAAGATAATCTAGTTAAACAGGTTTGCTAAAATTACTCATCATCTGGTGATAGACCGGAACAACTAGTTTCGTCGCTGTGCGCACACTGAACCACACGAAATATGCTAAAACTGTATAGCTACTAGACTTTGTTTTACAAGGTGGTTATGCAGATGCATTAAAGGCTAAGCTCAAAATCTCTTCCTCCACTAGAACATGCTGACTATGAGCTGAAAGTATTTACAACTATACGACTGACTGACTGACTAAAATATGAAGAATATCTGTATGGATGATTCAGTTTGTCAACAACTTTTTGATTTATCTGCCTTCTGTAATACATGTTCCAAACATGCAATACTGAGCGTATCATTCACTTCCAACCATAAGAATTAACTGTCAGCAATGTTTCCATCTTTTTCAGCTTGAAAGCATTATCTATTATTGACAAAAGGGGTAATAGATGTACACCGCTTTGACTGAACTGTCGGTGTTGGGAATCTCAGCAAAGTCTTGTTGTAACAATGTCGATTATCATGAAAGATTTGCGGTCGAGGAAAGTTTAATACTGATTCGCGATTGTTGCAAAGCTAAATTTCCTCCTTCTGAATGTGACCCTGATGGATTTTTTCATTCTTCTTTTTATGGTTCTTTTATTAAAGCACAGACCAACTTTTTTAAATTCCAGGCAGTTAATAAGTATGAATTTGGAAGATAAGACGTAGAAATGCTGCATAGTCGTCGACTCATAAGATGTTTAATCAAGATTAGGGAATAGGCAATCTGCGAAAATCAAGCGGGCTCCAAACCTTGTTATGGTTCTATCAACCAAATAATCACACTCCTCCAGGTCCTGAAACACAGATACATTTGCCGACCTCCAACACTGCCTGTACTTCTCGACCTGAAGACAGCAATATAGTCCATCTATCAAGAGTCTGTCACTGAAACGGTTACACCACTCCTTTGAAGGTTCTGTACTTGAATACCCGTTCACGTGTCAAAGCCTTTGGTGAGTTGTGTACTTAGTTATTCTGGTCTCTCTATCGTCATCTGAATTTACAGGGATCGATCTTGTCATAGGAGAATCCTTACTAGAACTAGGTAGATAGATACGCAGATGAAGTAATTCTTTCAGGTAAAGATGCTGAAAAGATGGAAAGTGTACTTCACACCTAGAGTGGCAATCCGGATATTTGAAACGCTTTTGTCACCAACCAAATATAAATTGTTTCTCCAGGATAGATTTTGGGCTATCCTAGCTAAGAATGGCAAGTGGAACGGTTCAGCACGTTGACGACTTCCATTACCTGGGGATCGAATCAGCACTAGTGTTTGTGACTGACGAAATCCTGGAATGAATACTAGAAGGCTGCCTAACCCTCGTCAACCTACGTTGTGATATCCGATTATCTGTTAACGGTCAAGTGTACTGTGCTGCAGTCGGCACTGCTCTACAGCACGGCTGTGAAACATGGCCATTAGAAGAGGTGGAGGAGACGAGGAGGCCTCAGGTGTGTTGACCACCGTTGCCTTCATAGCGTGAGGCGTATGTCTTGGTGTCACCAAGTCAGTAGCATAGACGTGACGTGGAATAGTTTTAGGAGTATCATGGGACGCGGTGTTGGTGGGAAATTAGTACAGATACTTCTGAACATTATCTTTCTCCAGGCCAAAATAGTATCAAGATTAATATATGACAGCTATGCAGTAATGTTGATTTCCTTCATTACCTTATCCCTTTCATCCTCAACATTTATTTTTCCTTCTTGTAATTTGTATCTCTTTGTCTTTACTTGTACTGGTGTCCACGCCTTAAGTGTGGAGAATGAAGCTTTTTATTATGTGGTTGTCACAGTTTTCATGTAATTAGTTTGTTTTGCTAACTTGCTAAAAGTTCACGAGAAATCGTTTGATCGATTGACTTAGGTTAGAAACCAATGTCATTACTTTTCTAGATTTTTTCTACTTAAAACAACTCCTTAATTTGTTACTAGACCCCCTCCCTACTTATTTTTAAAAGGTTGGGCAGAGAGGAATGAGAACCATAATATTCTTATGCATAATACTATTTCTACTGAATTTCCATCTTGAATCTGATAGGATAGGATCATCAGTACATCACTTCCAGATAATAATACACGGGAAACATGTGATCGGAGTTAATTAACGCAAAGTCCTCCTACCCGAACAAGAACAGATATCGAACGTATTTCTTCGTGTGAATAAATTGAAAGACAAAAAGGTTTCGGAGATACAGGTTGTCTTCAGATTCACTTTGTAAACCTGTTGCTATAGTCTCTCAGCTGACACTCAGGATCACTCAACAACTAGGTTCACACTTAATTCAATTTATTGGCAGTCAGTTATCGTAAATTCCAATGATAATTTACTAACGCTAATGTAGTCCCTGTAACATTTACCACTTACTGTAAAATGATGCCAGGAGAGAATTTCTCAGAACTACATAACAATGTTTCTATTTGACAGGAGCGTAAAAAGTAAACTACGTTCTAGTTACGATTTGTCAGGAGAAACACGCATACTAACTGCTAGGAGTAAAATCAAATGGGCACTAAAAAGTAGCTATCATTGAATTGTATTTCATTCCTATATCACGTAATATTGTTGGACGTACAACACCAAACAGCAGCAGCGACCGATAGCTGCTACCTTGACGTGGTGGTCGGGCTTGCATATCACAATGACCCAACGAGCTATGCTGGTGGAACGCTTGTTCCCTCGAGGTCCTACCATACCAGAAAGGTCTGTTGGGTAGTGGTTAGACGAAAAGCAGTTACCGTCATAGTGTAAATTGCTATACTATGATGGGGGTCTGAGGGCAGAAAACTCACTACTAGACTGGATCCCAGTTGATAGTCGCCTCTGCGCTATGAGGCTGAACGGCACAGTGAGAACTAAAAGGAATAGTGAGACTCGCCGTTGTCTCTTTGTAATCTCTGCTTACGCACCCACTGACTGTAGTTCGGATGAAGTGAAGGACGAGTTCTACCATAAACTGTCTAACCTCCTCTCGAAAGCCAAACGTTCGGACGTAGTGGTTGTTGCAGGTGACCTCAACGCACAGGTGGGTAGACTGAGTGAGGCAGAAAGGCACTTAGGTGGCACTTTCGGAATCCCAGCTGAACGTACAGATAACGGTGATCGCCTATTACAACTATGCTCAGATAACCGCCTATTTTTAGCCAGCACAAATTTCAGACATAAAGAAAGGCACTGTCTGACCTGGCGTCCACCGAGCTCGACTCAGCGATGGACACAGATAGACCACATTGCTATTAGTCATCGCTGGAGAGGATCGGTGGAAGACTGCCGCTCCTTCTGGAGTACGTGTTTGGACAGCGATCATGCGTTGGTCCGAGCACGTATATGCCTGCGTCTCAATGGACGTAGAAAAAATTTGGCAACAAAACCACTACGAGTTCTGCTGGACAACGAAAACACCAAAGCCGTGTTCAGTGAGAAGTTGGCTAGGCAGTTATCGGAACAAAAGACTGTCACTCATCCAGAAGAAGCTTGGTGCCATCTTCAGTCTACTGTAAAAGCAGCACTGGAGACTGTAGCCGACTCCAAGATAATGGCTAAAAAGAGCCAGTGGATATCAGCAGCTTCTTCCAAACTAATGGATGCACGTGAATGCATCCCTGCAGGCTCTGAGTACAATGAAGAGCGAGCGCAACTTAAAAATAAACTGACGAAAAGTCTGCGCAACGATCGTGAACAGTGGTGGGCAGCAAAGGCTAAAGAGATGGAAAAGGCAGCGGCGATCGGTAACAGTAGACAGTTATTTAGACTTATTAAGGAGACTGGGGGGAAATGGTCAACAACAGTTAGTGAGGTTATAGCGGAGAAGGACGGATCGGCGATTCACTCGCAGGGAAGGCGACTGGGACGATGGGCAGAACACTTTGAGGAACAGTTTAACTGGCCTCCAGCCACCATTGCGCTGCCCGCTATCCAGTCGGACCCTGAATGGGACATAGAGACAGGTCCCCCAACACTAGAAGAAGTTGAGAAAGCGGTAGGTAGCCTGAAACGGGGAAGGGCAGCAGGACCAGACGGACTACCTGCTGAGGTATACAAGAATGGTGGTAGAGTTCTCTTAGTCAGGCTAACGGAAGTGTTAGCCAGTATATGGGAATCAAATACGATCCCCTCCGACTGGTCTAAGTCACTGATCATCCCAGTCTTCAAGAAAGGCGAGAAGTCCTCTTGTGATAACCACAGAGGAATCAGCCTGACAAACATAGTGTCTAAGATCCTAAGTTCTATAATTCTCCGACGCCTGAGTGGAGCTCGGGAACAGCAAGCCCGAGAAAACCAGGCAGGCTTTAGACCTGGCCGTGGATGTATCGACCAAATATTCACACTGCGCCAGGTCCTGGAACATAGGCATGCTTACAGACGCCCGACAATAGCTGTATTTCTCGACCTGAAGGCGGCATTTGACTCCGTTGATCGAGAAGTCTTATGGCAGTGTCTGTCACTGAAAGGCGTGCCTAGTAAGTACATCACCTTATTGAAAGCTCTCTACTCGAACACTTGTGGGCATGTTAGAGCCTATGGTGAGTTGTCCAGGGAGCTATACTCATCAAGTGGTGTCCGTCAAGGATGCCCACTATCCCCATTCTTATTTAATTTTATCATAGATATTCTTATGGAGGTTTCCCTCTCGTCACCTAATTACAAAGACGTTGACCGGATCACAGGTGAATTTTCCTTAGATCTAGAATATGCAGATGACATAGTCCTGTTAGGTGAAGACGCTGACAAGATGCAGAGTCTTCTGAACACTTTGAGTGGGAATTTGAGAATGTTTGGGATGCGATTTTCACCACCCAAATGCAAATTTTTGCTCCAGGACTGGTCTTCAGCGGTACCGCGGTTAACAATAGAGAGTGAAGTGGTTGAGTGTGTTGAC